TGCGGGTGGAGGAGTAACCCCAATCACATTCTCTACACAATTTGGCATAATAGTTTTCCACATTAATCACGACTTGGAATCATAACACGTAGATACAAAATTCATAGTTTGGAACACATCCTCAATTTATTATACAATATCATGAGAGCATTTGAAACACAAATTAAACATATATCTTTGTCACAAAACTTATTCGGAATACTCAACTTGTAATAAATATCTTGGGACTTACAAGGATATTGGGGTTCCAATTCTTAAAGAAGAGTTTAGCCAAGATACCTCAATTGAGCTTCCTTAAACTCTAAAATGATCTGAAATTTTTAGCAACTTCAATCTATTTTAGAAATATAACAAATTGAACCAAAATTAGGAAGATGATCATGGTTCTAGCTCATTTGAGCATTTTATCAAACACTAGGTGTGCATTAAGGTTTCAAGGTCCTTTTATGGAGGATTTCATCATCCCACAACCCATTCTCTACCATTTTTAGCTCACAACCTTCCTACATTATTTGATAACACATGCATGCAAGATAACAACTCCCACACCCAAAAATTGTCTTTCAAATTATCCCATTTTTTGTAGATTTTTGAAATTAAGAGCTAGGGCATAGATTCTTACCTCTAAGATGAAGAATTTCTTGATAATCTTCAAAAATTGAGCAAGAATTGTTGGATATTAGGTTGAAGGTTACTTTCCCACTCTAAGAAATCTTTCTCACTCTAAAAATATCAGAAATATGCTCAAAAATAGACTATGGCATATGTTTTAACGAAATAGGGTCGGGTATAAAAACCCCAAAAATGAAGCTCCGGAACAGAGTATGTGGTCGCATATGCGACCGCATAATGGATATGTGGTTGGCATATCGGCCGCATAATTTGGTGCCAAAAACTGGAAAAACTCTGCCTGGGACTGCGGTAGTTATGCGGCCCGCAGACCTGTTCTATGGTCGCATAATGCGCCGCAGAACCTCCCTCCGCAAAAATCCAAGGATGATTATGCAATCAAAGTGCGGCCGCGAAATGGTTGTGCGGTCGCATAACTGGCCGCAAAATGGACATAAAAAATGGACCAAATAGCTGCTTCACTCTGCGGCCCGCAGAGTGATTATGTGGCTGCATAATGGGCCGCAGAAATGCCCCATCTCTGCAAAATATTTTCCTTCAACTCCCCATCGCACTGTTCAATCCAAAAAGTCCGAACTGCGGTGAGCAAGCTCGCCGCGAAGAATTTCTTCTATTATTAACCTCTACGCCTACCTCGGCATCACGAAACCCCGGGTTTTTAGGAAATATTTTCACTAGGCCTTACACTTAGGCAAGTTTGTATAACAATCATGATAGTACTAACAGAATATCAGGGAGATCTAAGAAATCCTCATGCATGCTCCGAGTTGATGGAGCGTAAGAGAAATCAGGAGATTTAAAGTTTTGTTCTTTTGGTCTAAGGTTCGAATTTGGGGGATTTAGAATTTTATCGGTGAAAGGGGAAAGATTCAGCAAGAATCATGGGTATATGAGACAGGAAGGATGATTTCTGGTCATGATTCATGACCTTGCACTAATTAGTACAAGTTTTGAGATTGACAGGTCTTTGAGGTTGAGAGAAAGGAGAGAGGAAGGGGAGGGGGGAGGGGGGCGAGTCTTTGGGGGAAATGATTAGGGTTTCAGGGATTAGGGGTGGTCTCTAGATTTAAGATAGGGGAATTGGATCTGGGTCGTTGATCTAAAAAGATCAACGGTCCGGATAATTTGGGATTTAGCATTTTTATGGAGAATTTGAATGGTTGCTTTAATTTAAAGAGAATGGAGTCAAAAATTGTGGGCCGTTGATCTAAGAAACGGACGACCCAGATCAATTTGTGTTTATTTTTGTGTATGTTGGAGACAGGTGACATGGAAAGCTCTGATTGATATAAAGGGAATGATAAGTATTGCCAAGGTGGATTGGAGGGGTTGTTTGGACTGGGTCATTTCGGATTGGGCTTATGTATTTGGGCCAAGATTAATTTAAAGGGTAGCCACTGTTGTATTTAATTAAGAATTGTAATTATAGCCTTTTAACCCCTTTGAAATTAATTTAAATAAACTTAATTATTTTTAGTAAAATATAATGAAAATTATAATCATCAAATATACTACTAATTATTGCAATTAGTTATTTGCAAAATACTTTGTCTTCTAAATTATGACACCAATTTCGAAATCATTAACATAGTAATCTAATTAATTAGAAATTAAGGAATAATTTATTAAATTAATTATAAAGTATATGTGATGTATATAAAAATTATTTTAATAATCTTAAAATAGTAAATACGATATATTTTGTAATTATAACAAAACTATTAACACTTAGTTTAACTTTGTGAAAATAGGTATTATTAATTGAAAATGTTTTCAAAACGTTCATTGTAAATTATTAAGTATAAATAAATTAATTTTAAAAGGGAGGTTCAAAATTGTCCGTCAACAGCTGCCCCTCTTTGATCGGAGACGATAAAAAAGTTTTCGGGCAAATAAATTGAACCAAGGCCAATTTTGTCCCGATCATTAGGCATACATTGCAGGAATGGCATGAAGATTATGAGTTGTGGAATTAGGAGTTAAGGAAGATTCCGGGAGGATTTTTGGGGAGTTGGGGCCGTATTCTGGCCTTGAATTGCTTACATACCTCGGGCTTAACGAGGATCAGGCCTTATGTAGTTTTGGAGTGAAGAATTTGGGAAGCGGCGCTCACAAGAATTGTCCAGTATCATATTATGACGATACTGCGAGACAGAAGATTCGGTACTCATGATAACTTTTAGTTGCGGCTTGATTTGAAAGATTTGAATAATTAGACTTTTACTGATCGTTTTGAGTTTGAGCTCGGATCGTTGGCCCGCTTATGAGTTTGTTGTCCCTCATAGCATTGTAGCTTGGTTTGCTGCTTAGAAGGAGTTCTACGTTGCGATGTTTGTTCCTGCAAAAACAATATATGCATAGACCCATATATTTTAATGTAGAATATGTTAAGATGTGATGTAAATAATGCAGGAATGATGATGCCTGGATGCTATCTGGCCGTTATTTGGGATCAAGATGATGGGATACTTGAATTTGACTCGATTGTTAGTCGGGCTATGTACCGTTCCGCAGCTATTAGAGCATTAAGTCTCCTCGTGTTAGGAGTATCTCTGCACGATGGGAGTAGTTGACTTGTAATGTAGGATGCATCTCCGCTTGTTGGGAGAGGTTGCATTGAAATTTAAAGTATCTCCGCGTGATGGGAGTGATTGCACTGAAACGTAAAGTATCTCCGCACGATGGGAGTTTCTGACATGAAAAAATGTAATCATGCCTGTAAGCGGCATGAGCAAAACGTCAAAACATGCGAGATAAAGATGGAGAAAAAGGAGCATGCCCAAGAGGTACTCTTAACTGCAAAACTAAATTGCGGCCGTTGATTGGCAGAAAATTGGCGACGAGGTTTAGAGCTATCTATTCTGGTTTCCGATTTGGTGGAGTGTCAGTGTGGATTGCTTTCGTTGGCGAAGCGAACAATTTGCTATATACAAGGCTTTGATTGGTGAAGCCAGCGTTCGATGTGTATAGGGTGCTCTGATTGTTGAGCTGGCGGTTTACTATATAGAAGATTCGATTGGCGAAGCTAGGGGCTCGGTTTTGTACAGGGTGCTCCGATTGATTTTGCTGGCGGTTTGCTATATAAAGTATGCTCCGTTGAGTTGAGAAGACGGTTTGCTATATACCTGACTCCGGTTGGCGTCAACGGCCTGGTTCCGAGATACCTGCAAGGATACGAGAGTTAGTTTTTTGTTAAATAAGGAAAATTTGAATGAGGAAAGAGAGATGATAGCTATGAGGGAGTGGCGAATCCGTCATTGCCCCAATGTGTTATAGAACTTCTTTAAGTCCTGTTGGCTCTGCATTCAAAGAAACATTCTNAGTTTTCTAGGTGGAACGAATTATGATATCTTTAGAAAACATTTTGGAAAAATCATTTGTTTTATGGGAAATGTTGTCGTTCCGAATTATGACATGTTTCAGAAGTTCCTTAAATGCGAGCGTTGTTTCTGGAAGATTATGTCCCGCTACTGTCGATCCTCCAAGATACTTATAATGACGTGGCTTCTTGTCGCTGCAATCGTGCCATAATCTAAACTAATGAATTACGAAGGTTTTCCTAGGGTTATGACTGAACCCTTTCAGGTTGCCTACGTATCCGAAACGGAATCAGGTCTGAGTGTAGTTCATGGGTAATGATAAAGAAAAGTATGATGAAGATGACCGAGCCTGACTCAGGCAACCCTGCGTATCCAAATAGAATTAGGTCAAAACGTAGTTCGATAACAACAGATGCAAAATGATGAGATTGAAAATGAAGTGGCCGAGTCTGACTCAGACTGCCTACGTATCCAAATTTAATTAGGCCAGAACGTAGTTAAGTTAAAAAGATGACCGAATCTGTTGAGGATTGCCGATGTATTCCTTGCAAAGGAAATCAAGTCGTGGCGTAGTTCCGAGTACATACAAAATGATATTTGGGATTTTCTATTAAAAAAGAAAGGGGGAGAGAGAAATCGAACCCTATGTGGGTTGCCGACGTATCCCTCCGTGGGAAGTCAGGTTGAGCGTAGTTCTGTTACAGCTAAAACCTAACTCTGTTGTCTTCAAACATAGTATCTCTTGATTGCGTCTGAGTTGATAGCCTTTGTGCTGACTCTTCCGTCCATCTCTGCCAAGATTAGAGCTCCTCACGACAACACTCGGTGGACCACATAAGGACCTTGCCAATTTGGCGCGAACTTTCCTTTGGCTTCTTCTTGGTGAGGGAATATTTTTTTCAAAACTAATTTCCCCGATATAAACTAGCGAGGCTTCACCTTTTATTTGAATGCACCGACCATCCTATTTTGATACAACTGACCATGGCATACTCCATCCATTCTCTTATCGTCAATGATCATGAGTTGCTCATGCCTGACCCATATCTATTATGCATCGTCTAGTTTGGCTTCTTGAATGATTCTCAAAGATGGTATCTCGACGTGTACGTGTATCACAACATCGGTGCCATATACCAACATGTATGGAGTTTCCCCGGTGGAGGTCCTCATGGTAGTTCGATAACCCAGTAAGGCGAAGGATAATTTCTCGTGCCATTGCCTATGATTGTCCACTATTTTTTGCAGAATCCTTTTGATGTTTTTGTTGGATGCTTCAACAGCTCCATTTATTTGCGGTCTGTAGGCTGTAGAGTTACGGTGGGCAATTTTGAACTTCTCGCAAATTTCCCTTATGAGATCACCATTGAGATTGGCTGTGTTGTCAGTAATAATTGACTCGGGTATCCCAAATCGGCAAACTATGTTGTTACGGATGAACTCTGCCACTACTTTCTTTATGATAGGCTTATATGTAGAAGCTTCGACCAATTTGGTAATGTAATCAATGACTACCAAGATATAACAGTGCCCTTTTGATACAACGGGCTCTATAGGTCCAATCATGTCCATTCCCCAAGCGGCAAACGGCCAAGGGGAACCCATTACATTCAACTCATTAGGCAGAACGAGGATGAAATCCCCGTGGATCTGGCATGGATAACACTTCTGCGCATAGCAGATACTATCACTTTTCATGGTCTTCCAAAAGTATCCAGCTCTTAAAATCTTTTTGGCCAAGGTGAAGCCATTCATATGGGGTCCACATGTTCCTGCATGTATTTCTTCTAGCAATCTGGTTGCTTCGGTGGCATCTACACATCTTAACAGACCCAAATCTAGGCTCCTCCTAAATAGGACTTCCCCGTTGAGGAAAACGTGATTTGCCAGCCTTCTGTGCACTCGCTTTTGACCATTAGTAGCATTCTCTTGATATTCTCTTAATTCAAGTAACCTTTTGATGTCGTAGTACCATGCCTTACCATTTGTCTCTCCGTCTACATAAAAATAATACACCTGTTGATCCCTAATCTCTATCTCGATGGGGTCGATGTAATTCTTATCTGGATGTTGAATCATGGATGATAAGGTTGCGAGAGCATCGACAAGCTCATTCTGGATCCTGGGAATGTGCTTGAACTCGATCTTTGTGAATTTCTTGCATAGCTTTTTTACGCAATGCAGGTATGGAAGGATCTTGACGTTCTTGGTAGTCCATTCTCCTTGAACTTGATGTATCAATAGATCAGAATCCCATATGACCAAAAGCTCCTTGATGTTCATGTCAACTGCCAACCTGATACTTTGGATGCATGCTTCGTACTCGGCCATATTATTGGCGCAAGGGAACCTTATCTTTGCTGATGCTGGGTAATGTTGTCCTGATTGCGAAATTAGGACTGTCCCAATTCCTACTCCTTTGAAATTTGCTGCTCCGTCGAAGAACATTCTCCACCCTGGGTATGACTCTTCGATATCTTCTCCGGCAAACAACAACTCTTCATCTGGGAAGTACGTAGTGAGCGACTCATAATCCTTGTCCACTGGATTCTCTGCAAGGTGGTCAACTAAGGCTTGTCCTTTGATGGCCTTTTGCGTTATGTACATAATATAAAATTCGTTGAGAAGAATCTTCAATTTGGCTAGTTTTCCTGTAGGCATTGGCTTCTGAAAGATATACTTGAGCGGATCGAGCCAGGATATTAAATGCGTGGTGTATGTTGACATGTAATGCCTTAACTTCTAGGCGATTCAAGTCAAAGCACAGCAAATGCACTCTATCAGAGTGTATTTGGCCTCACAAGGTGTGAACTTCCTGCTTAAGTAGTAGATGGCCTGCTCCTTTCTTCCGATCTCATCGTGTTGTCCCAACATGCATCCAAATGCATTCAGTGGCTTCCCAGGCTCAGGAGGAACCAACACTCGTGGATTTGACAAGTACTCCTTAATTTTATTGAAGGCTTTCTGACACTCTTCTGTCCATTTTGTACCAACATCCTTGTTCAACAGCTTGAAGATGGGTTCACAAATTACTGTAGGCTGGGCTATGAAACGGCTGATGTAATTCAGCATACCAAGGAAACTCATCACATCCTTCTTTCTCTTGGGTGGTGACAACTCTTGAATGGCTTTGATCTTTGAAGTATCCCGTTCTATCCCTTTCCTGCTTACGATGACAGCTAGCAATTTTCCAGCAGGGACTCCGAATGCACATTTTGCAGGGTTCAACTTCAAACTATACCTCCGCAAGCGTTCAAAAAACTTTTTCAAGTCGTCCCAATGTTCTGAACTCTTCTGAGACTTGATGACGACGTCCTTCACATATACCTCTATCTCTTTGTGAATCATTTCGTGAAAACGTGTTGTTATGTCTCTCATGTAGGTGGCACCAGCGTTTTTGATGCTGAACGGCATGACTCTGTAGCAGTAAACTCCCCAAGGTGTAGTGAACGCTGTCTTTTCTACATCTTCCTCATGCATCAAGATCTGGTGGTACACGGCAAAATAATCCACGAATGACTGCAGCTCATGCTTCGCGTAGTTGTTGATGAGAATGTGAATGTTTGGTAAAAGGAAATCATCCTTCGTGCTGGCCTTGTTAAGATCTCGATAATCCACACATATCCTGTTCATCCCATCCTTCTTGGGTACCCAGACAATATTTGCCAACGTTTGTTTCTATTTTCTTGGTTACTTCTTCTTTTATCCTCAGACTTAAGTCTGGTTTGAACTTTTTGGGTTTTTATTTGACTAACGGTTTAGCAGGATCGATAGGCAATCGATGCGAAACGATGTTGGTGCTTAACCTTGGCATGTCATCATACGACTATGCGAACACGTCGATGTTCTGTTGGAGGAGCTCGACCAATTCTTTTTTTTGCTCTACTTCTAAAGGGATAATAATTCGGGTTTTTTACGTCATCTTTGTTTCCTAGGTTGACCACTTCTGTTTCTTCAAGGTTAGGCTTTTCCTGGCTTTCCAGCTGTTCGATCTCTTGTGGGAGATTATCTGGCATCATGCTTTCGTCGTATTCCTTGTAATCTGGATCGCTTTGCTCGAGGGTTTCGTTACATGTCATAATCGCAAAACGTGGGGTTTTATTGTTTTGATTACTGAAAAGAAAAACTAAGTATGAATGAAGCGATAAATAAATTTTCAAACAATTTAAGAAAGCATTTGTTTTCATTTCATCAAAAGAGGAACGTCTGAGGGTTCAAAGAGGTGAATGACTAAATAGTACAGACACGGTTCAAGCATCAATTGACCGTGCGCTCTTTTCAAAAGTTTTACAATTCCACACTACCAAGACTCCTAGCGAACCAAAGACGGGCTGGCGGTCCAATTTTGCAAGTCCTCTCCTTGTTCGGCATTCCGAATGATCAGTGTCTTGATATCTACTCTATCATAGCATTCCTCGATCATGGTCACGAACAACTTCCCCATTCCATCAACGATGTCATCCTCCAGTGTTGAGCTCTAGCCCGTACCCGAAACACGCTCTGGCACAAAAGCTTTCTTCTTGAAGATACCGGTACAAGTCTTCCCAGTCGGTGGCTGACCACTCAGCTCAATCGACTCTGTTATCTCGTCTGATCGGGCTCCCAGTCCGGTTCCTAGTCTGTATCCGTACTTCATCATTTCTCTTATGGTCATCTTTGATCTATACGGAGATTGCATTCCCATATTTTGCTCGGTCTCTTCTATTTCTGTGGTCTGTATGATCTCAGTTGCATGGAATACGACCCCGTCTAGTCCCTCTATGAACAGGACTACATGTTCCAAATAAGCTGATTGACTCCATTCGCCATTGAATACGATCTCTTGGCAACTCCGCTCGAACTTCATGCGCTAGTGCAGGGTAGATGGGATTGCCCCTGCCATGTGTATCCAAGGTCTTCCTAGCAATAGGTTGTATGAAGATGAAATATCCATGACTTGGAATAGTATGGGAAACTCAACTAGTCCAATTTGCAAAGCCAAATAAATATCTCCAATGACGTCCTTCTGTGACCCATCGAAAGCCCTTATACTCACATGACTTTCCTTCACTTCTCTTAGATGGATAGCCAATTCCAGTAGGGTTAGAGAGCTGGCATATATTGACTCATGACCCTTCGTCAACAAGTACTCGGTACACCACCTTATCTCCACATTTGACGATGATATGTAAAGCTTTGTTGTGATCCACGCCCTCTATGGGAAGTTCATCTCTTCAGAAAGTGATCATATTTACTTCGACCATTTTCCCAATAGTTGCTGCCAGTGCCTCGCTTGTGGTGTTGCTCGGCATGCTCACCCCACTTAACACTTTCATCAGGGCGTCTTTATGACTGTCAGAACTCATCAGTAAATCCATGATTGATATTTGCGCCGGGGTTTTCTTTACCTGTTCCTCCACGGAGTATTCTTTAGTTGATATCCTCTTTCAGAATTATGTGGCCTCCAGATTTGTTATATTCCTTCTCTGAATCTGTTCTCTTCCTGAAGTCCCTCGATTGACATCCTCATAAGCGTAACACCCCCTTGACATGGTGATTAAGCCGCTGCAGAATCCGTCATCTTGGCTTTCCCTTTCCATTGATATGTCCACGGGACTGTCTTGTATTCCTAATCCTCTCCATCCCTATAGCAGTGACAGACTGTTGCTGGTAAGTTTGGACCATCATTGTAGGTTTCAAATGTAATGTGATCATTGGAGTCCTTCGAGGTAGGACCTTGCAGCCTCAGTGTTTTCTATTGTGACGATGGTTCCTTTCAAGTCATACTCTTTATCCAGAGTGATCATATTAGCTCCTTGATTCCAGTGGTTTGGCAGCGGGTTGCGATTCACATTGGGCAGAGCTGGGGTGCACTGAATGGCTCCATTTTTGGTCAGTGACTCAATTTTATTTTTCAGTCTGAAACAATCCTCGGGATAATGCCCCGGTACATTTGAATGGTAGACGCACCGTTTGGTTGCATCAAAGTATTTTAAGGGATACTCAGGAACCCTTCCTTCTATCGGATGTATCAAACCTGCTCTCCTCAGTCTTTCAAACAGTTGAGCCAAAGGTTTACCAATCGGGGTGTAGCTTTTAGGGCCTCTCTCTTCAAAATTTGGGCGAGGGCGGGGTGCATAAGTGGGTCAGTTTTGATGAGTGGTAGTTTGAACTAGAGCATATGGTCGTGGTGGGTTTGGATTTGTATGGGCGCGAGGTGGGTTATATTGAGGTTGGGGATTGTAGTATGGTTGTGTGTTGTATACTGGAGCATAAGCAGGTGGGTGTGGGGAATGGGTGTTTGGAGAGTAAGAGGTGTTACCATGGTGGGGATTGGACTGGTAATAGGGAATGATTGCTAATACCTCTTCTTTTTTCTTCTTTTTGCTGCCTATTGATCCTAATTGGATTGTTTTGCTAGCTACTTGCAATGTGGCCATAGATTATACCTTGCCAGACTTTATACCTTCTTCTAAAAAGTCTCCAATTTGGACAAGTTCTGGGAATTTCTGCACCATCATTCCCATCCTTTTCTTAAAGTAGATCCCTTCTTGAGCCCTTATGAAATACTTTGTCAGCTCACTGTCATCTAACAAGGGTTGTGCTCTGGCGGCCTCTGACCTCCATCGATGTGCATATTCTTGGAATGATTCGGATGGTTTCTTCAGAAAGTTTACTAGTGCAAACCTATCAGGGGTAATTTCTGTGTTAAAACGAAAGTGATTCATGAAATCCTCCGCCATATCCTGCCACTCCCTCCAGTTTCGTGGATCCTGGTGAGTGTACCAAGTAAGTGCTTCCCCTGTCAAACTCGTTATGAACAACTTCATCCTTAACTTCTCATTTCTTCCTACTGCAACTAACTTATCACAGTAGGCTCTCAAGTGTGCACGGAGATCGCCTGTCCCATCAAAGATATCAAACTTCAGAGGCTTGTACCCTACTGACATGTCCACATCAGGATGGATACACAGATCCTCATAGTCTAGACTTTTGCTCCCTCAAGCGACCTGAAGGTTCTTCATTTGTTTTCTCAATGCTCGTAATTGCTCGGACACTGATTCCTTCTCCTTATACTTGTCTTCCCTCTCCATTTCGGCGTATTGATCCATTTCATACAACATCATGACTGTGATAGGCGCTGTGAAGGTGGGTTTTGAAATGGTATATAGGGGATAACATATGGCTCATGTGCAACAGTATGTGCCGCGGGTATGTGTTGGTTTTGGTTAGTGGTAAAGGTGACTCCGTCACGAGAGGGGGTATGAACTATGTTGATAGCAATTGGTGGGTGTTTTGGTCTTTGAACATAATTTGGTACATAAGGAGTGTGTATGGGAGGGTTTGGTAGGTTTGCAGGGGTTACTGGGGGTATAATCTAGGTGGTAGGGACTGAAGTCAGGGTATTGTTGGCTTGGCGAGTAGTGGAAGGATATTGGCTGGGGATTGAATCCAGAGAAGGAAAACAAGGTAGTTGTGGGAGCGTCGTCACTGCTAGATGTGCCAATTCCCGAATGTGTTGTACTTCCTCCCTCCACATGTCCGTCATTCCTCATATCGTCCTTCTCTCCCGATCACCCCAGGCTATCAGCTATTACCAGAGCGTGTTTGGTCGGGTTATCTGTCGCAGATATCTTCCCTTTAGATCTTAAGTTATACGATGGTTCTGCTAGTTTTGGGTCGACACAAACCAACTTTCTTTGGTGGATAATAATAAAGTAAGATAAGAAAAGAAAGAAAAAGAAAATGAATGAAAGTCAGTTTTAGTATTTGAACAAGTAATAGGTACACAGAGTAATTAGTTCATGTATTCAGGAAAGCGTGTTTTCCTTAAATTCACGGGGCCTCTCTTTGCCGGAGGTAGGCCTAAGTCGCGAATATTTGACTAACAATTAGATTTGACACATTCAGATCCGAAGAAAATTTAGGTTTCCATTTATAGTATTTGGATTGTAGTAGGCGGGAGCAAAGGTTACATCAATGTTTCCAACATTTAGAGAATTACATGGGTTCAAACATACTTGCCCTTAGAGAAATGAGAAAGCTCGGGATAAAGATACAAAGTGGGGAAAGGGGGTTAAATCAACAAACTTATAGTAACCATCCCCGAAATCATTCCCCATATCTTCTTCCTCTTCTGGTTCTTCCTCCGAGTCTTCTTCAAATTCTTCTTCATCATTGAACTATGGTTCTTCCTCTAGGTCTTCCTGTGGTTCTGACTCAGACTCAATCTGAATACACTTAACTACTCGGTCATCATCCACGGTGGGTGGCATCATGTGATCAATTTACCCCGAGTCCACTTGGCAGTGCATGGAGGTAGTTACGAGGTAGTGTGGCAAAATCTCATGATAGATTTGCAAAGCCGCCACTGTATCCTCCAGCTAGGTTATTCCTTCCTTGATTTGTTGGGCTAGCTCGTCTTCTTCATTGATCCAGACATAATATTTGGTAGTGCACCATAAATTTTGACCCATTGGAATTGTGACTAGATCATTCCACTCCTCCTGAAGCCTCCATTGTCGGGATCTACCCATTGTCTTCATCTCCATACAGTGCCGTCCTCATCCAGAGAGGTACATCTCAAATCAACCCGAGCTTCCTGAGAACTCGTAGGGGTGAGTATGGCTGGATGCCCTCAAGTCCTATAAGCT